AGAGAGAGAGAGAGAGAGAGAGAGAGAGAGAGAGAGAGAGATGTAAAAGGATGCCTTCTCAAAAAGATGGGTAAATAGAAAATGATAATATCATTTCCAGGTAATATTTTGTTTTTAAGATATTAAATATTAGTAATATTTTGTTTTAAATAAAATTATATATTTTGTGATATTTTACATATTATTATTTAATAAACAATAACGAGAGAATAAAGAGCACATTTGAAGAGTCAAATATAAAGAAGTATAATATTTTAAAACATGAAAAGTATGTATAATGTAATATTCTATAATTGATTAAAAGAGAAGATGCTCGTCAATTTCTAAATTACTAAGCGTCAGTGTGTTAGTCTATAGTAAAATAATTAGTCACAATATAAAATTAAAGATGTATATAGATAATAAATATTGTATAAGAAGATATTAAAAATGAGATACTTAGTAAACATATATGTTACCGTCACGACAGACGAATAATAGAATAATCTTGATATTGCAATTTCAATCAGATTTTATTTATTAACGGTATGTAAGCTTTATGTTTTTATAGTAATTTAGAAATTGATGAGTATCTTCTCGACATGCGAAATTTTATTTTATAGCCAGCTAAGTGAGTTGTTTTGACCAGAGTGGCGATTTTACTCGAAGTTTTTTATTATTCTCTTAATTTATTTCCAACTTGACTTGTTACCAGAACACCGGAAAATTTCAAACAACCGGTCGTCCAACCGTTTGCGAGTGATTTCCGTTTCTCAGCAAAGCATCTCACTGGTCATCATCATTAAGTGTATAATTTTGTCTATCTATTCGTGAGTCTCTCATCCAATGTAACATCTCCTGTATGCATATTTGAAGAAGGCTCAATCGTGAGACCGAAACATATTATATTTTTAATTAATTATAGAATATTATATTAAACATACTTTTGATTTTTCATGTTTTAAAATACTTCTTTATATTTGACTCTTATCCCTGCCCTTTATTCTCTCGTTGTTGTTTTTTAAATTAAGAGTCCTTCGTTCTTGTAATAACTTTATTATTTAATATTAGTAATATTTTTTTAAATGTGTTAAGTATTTCCAATTTATTTAGTAATTGTTACTTGTAAATGTAGCGAATTATTAATTATTTATTCATCATTACTGATTTCTTTCCGAGATTATCAATATTTCAACCAGTGACCCTTAAGGCACAATTGAAATAAATCCTTTTTATTCGTCGAGTAAATATATAAGCAAATAAAGAAATGTGAATTTCCACCAGATAGGCTTGGCACTAGACGTAGAAAGGACATCTTTACGAATCTTGGCAGACGCGACCGTCTGACGTAATCCCCGGAAATGGACGATGCCAGGGTGGAAGACAGACGGAAAAAATGGGAGTGGCAGACAATACGCTTGCTCTTAGCTGCCCTACGAAACGTCGTTGAATATTATTCGATCGCAATAAAAAGAACTTCCTAAAGATTCGAATGTATGAAGAAATCACACGCGCAATAAATAAAAATATTATTTAAAAATATTATATTATTTAAATGATCGTCTCAGCGTTATTCATAAATTGTCATCAATATACTCTCTGCAAAAAATGAACTGGAGTTAAAAATTTACAATTTGAAAAATACGTGCAATACATCCTTAAGGCTAAAATTTTAATTGAGTTCTATTAGAGAGATCTTCGAAATATTGTACATATTAAAAATAAAAATTGGACATAAGTTAAAAATCGTGTGCAACTTGATTACTGAATACAAAAAGTTTAACGTCTACGATGAAAAAAGTCTAAGAAAATCGTCGGAGAAAAGTTTCTGAAAAAGAAAGACACCTCAATGAGAGTTTCTTATTCTAGAAATTAAATTCTTGCTGCTCTCTACTTACGATGTTCATCTCCTGTTCCTGGATTTCCTTGTACACCTCTACGATTCTCATCAGCGCGAAACCTGCAACACAAAAAACGGACCACGATCAGACTCTGCGATCGTCCTGGGCGGTCCTCTTCTCGCGGGAATCGAAACAACCAGAACTTTCGTCCTGAATTATTCAGACGCGGTTGGCGTCGTCGATACTTTAATCCAGCGCGGTGCCACGGCCGAGGGAGAAAAGTGGAGAACGAGGGTAAATGCGGGGGTGAGCGTCGCGATAGCTTAAAGCAGCGCGTTACGAGGCCCGTGGCCTCACCGCAGAATGACTTTCCTACTGAAAGCTCGCGAAAGCTCACCACGAGGAAACAAATGCTCTTGCGTCGAGCCCGATCGAGAAAGTTTCCGCGGAGAGCGGAAACTTTTCCCGTGGAAACGTTTCCCGCCACTATCTCTACCTCCTCGCTCTTTTCCCCTTCAGATCTCAGGTCTACTCGAGAGGATTTCACGTTGCTTTTGAATGAGCTTGCTGATTTCGCGTCGGCGTAAACTTGGATGAGGCTTACAAAAAAAAAGAAAAGAAAAAGTAAATAAATAAATTACCGCATCAAGAGTAGACAGTTTCGCCGCAGATCTGAGGTATTTACGTTTATGTGCTGAAAGGAGAGATTATAAAACTTCGTCCTATTTAATCGGCTTCAATTTACAGCAATTAAAAAGTCCGTACGATACAAACCGCTTACCGTCGGCAATTAAACATATTTCGCGTCTGGCAAAATACATTTAGATACGTTGACCGCTCGGACAGCTTTCTGCTATCTTTTTAACAGCAAATGCAATAATTGTGCGGTGATAAAATAAAAGGAAAATACATTTTTTTT